TATATATTCTTTTTTATTTTGGCCAGCTCAACCTGCCCTGAGGGAGGGGCTGCCATGGCATGGGGTGCACTGGGGATTGAACCATGGGCCCCTGCACCTGCCTAAGCTTGCCTAAGCAAGCACTTTAGAGTGCTGAGCTATCTCAACAGCCTAAATCTATTTTTTTAATGTTTTATTTATTTATTCGGTGCAGGATCTCGCTATGCAGCTCTGACTCGTACTGATCCTACTGTCTAAGCTTCCCAGCACTGGGATTACAGGCGTGCACCACCATGCCCAATTTTGGTGGCCGGCACAGTAGACGAGATTCCACGGCTGGTACTGCATGTGGTACCAGGGATTGAACCCAGGTCCTTGCGCTTGCTAGGCCGGTGCTTATGCTGCTGAGTTATCTCCCCAGCCCATTTTTTAACAGTATTTTTCAAGATAATTGTGTATGTATTTATTGTATATTATGCTATTTTAAAGTATATAGGCATTGTAGAATGAGAAAATTAAGCTAATTACAAAACTTTGTTTCACATTTATGCAATAAAAATACTTTTACATTGATTCTTTTAACAGTTTTCAAACACCTAGCCACCACTTTGTATGATGAATCTCGTGTGTGTGTGTGTGTGTGTGTGTGTGTGTGTGTGTGTGTGTGTGGCTGGCTGGCTCAGTCTGCCCTAGGGGCAAGCCTGTCACAGCATGTGGTGCTGGGAATCAAATTGTGGTCCCTGAGCACTAGCCTATGCCGGCTTTTCAGACCACTGAGCTATCTCGCCGGCCTAAATCTCTTGAATTTAGTTGGGATGCCTTACTGAAATTTTGTATCTTTCAACTAATATCATTTTTGGATAAGAAAATCTGATCTATTTTATATTTATGAAAAATGATAATGTATGGAAGTTGGATTAAATCAAATTCTGATTTTAAAGATTAAATCTAATTTATTAAATCTGGCATTATTAATATAAAATGATCTAGGAAAATGAGCTTTTAGGGCTGGCGAAATAGCTCAGTGAATTAAAGCATCTACAAGCAGGCTCAGGGGCTAGGGGTTCAATCCCCGGGCCTGCTGTGCTAGTCCCACCCCCAGGGCATGCTGAGACAACAATTGAGCCTGGGTGCGGTGGCCCACACCTGCAATCCCAGCTCTTGGGAGGCTGTAAACAGGCGGATCACTATGAGTCTGATCTAGTAGTGAGACCCTGGATACCTGTAGATCCTTCACTAAAAATGCAAAAATAAATAAATTAATTAATTAAATTAAATAAAGAAAACCATCTTTTGTTTTATAACTTCATCTGATGTTACGCCCTCACCAAATCATATCAATGACAGTGTTGCCTTGACCAGGGGCCAGGAGGAATTTGGTATTCTAGCTATTTGGAGACAGCTCCTGTTTACCTGCTATCCAGCTGCTTGTTTTACATTGACCTATCAGAGAAAAAAAAACTGATGTTGGTTAGTAATGGAGAAGAATTTTCATCTTAGCTTTTTAAGCAGCTCTATACTACTAATAAAAACTTTTATCAAGTATACCCAACTATAATTCAGTACTAGCTTTGAAGGTGAACTTGAACGGCATGAAGCTACTGAATTATTTCAAAAAAGCATTATTTGTGTCAGGGGCATGAACTAAACATACATAAGTTAGCGTAAGTAGTGTAAACTATGCCTAACTCCATCTTAATAGTTTTATATATACCAAGAGGACACTTGGATTTAGTCATATCTAAATCAAACCTGTTTTTCCTTAGTATAAAATAAAATTGTCAGCTCTACTGACAAGATTTCGTTTTCATAAAATATACTCATGTTTAATAGATTGTGTTTTCCTGCCCAGTAGTTTGTGGTGATTAACAATCTTTTGTTCTTAATTTGTGTAGGTCTCGCTATTTTAGTTGCCACAGCGTGGTATGGCAATCGAATTGTTCAGCAGTTCTACGACCCCATGACCCCCGTCAATGCCAGGTAATGCTATTCAGGCATACAATAGTTTATTCTCTGAGAAAATACCTTTCATGCTCAACAAAGTCCTGCTAGAACCATAGTTCCTCAGATTTGCTTTGAAGAATTATATGCAATTTTATGTCAGACTTGCATACAATTTAAATGACCTGTGACTCATGTTAAAATGGGTTGGATAATTGTTTTAATAGTCTGTATTGATGACAAAATTAACCTCATAGTAAAGTTGTGAGCGATATACTCAACTGTATGCTATATCATGTTTTTCTTTTCCCCTAAATATTAATGAACATGTTAATAAATTTGAAAAAAATTTTGAAGGGCATTCTGATGTCTCCAGCATCTCATTATTTATAATAAGGCAGTTTATGACCGATTGAGAAAGAACACCCCTCACCTGGTGCTTTATAAATAGTACTTCATCCCCAATGGTTAAATTAATATTACATTTTTATTAGTACATTGAGATGCCACTCTAAAACTTTATGTTCCATCACAGCTCTAAGATTAACATTACAAAGGTCATTTGCCTTAATATCACAAGTTGTGCAAGTTAAGAAACTAATTCTTGGCCCTCGTGTAACAATCCTCTTTGATCAGCGACTGTGTTCCTTGTCTCGCTGTTGTTGTCACATCTTTAAAGCTTAATAACTGCATTCAAAGCCAGGATGCTAAAATGTAATTATTGTTTGTAAGTGCGTGGATGAATGAAAACCTCTCAGTGTTTGCAGTGATAACAGGAGTCTCTTTTTACTGAGTCACCCACACACACAGGAACACAGGCCGCAGTGGTTTCTGTTGGCGCCCATCCCATAAGATTTACAATGCAGGGCTCAAAACTGCTGGGGGTCAATAGGCCAGGATTCTAGCAGCATGCGTACGAAAGCAATTTGCAAATGCATGACGCATTTGTTCTTTACACAGTCACATAGGATCCTGAGAGCAGTGTAGGGAGGTGGATGGAATTATCTTGCTTTGAAAGAAAGCCCCATAAGTGAGAGGGAAGTCACTACCCTGGAACTGCAGTACTTGAGAGAGAGCACCTGGATGCAAACCAGCCTTTATGGTGCCCACATCCAGCCTTTCAGTCTGTATGTTTTCCATAGTCACCCGCAGATGCCTCACTAAGAATCTGGCTGACTGTATTTCTTTGCAACAGCTTGATACAAAATGCTCATGGGCTATCCCAGAACCTATTTTATAAATATTTTTTTTTGGTTTTAGTTGATATAGCTATCAGGGATTAATTATTGAAAACTTTAGTAGTCTCTATTACACAATGAAATTTGCTTGTAGAATGATTTCTGCTTGAAGTTAGCATGACTCCATTAGTCTTAGCCTAGGAACTATTGTATAATCCCTACTTCTAAAATATGTGACTATTCTTCATAAGCCTGTATTGCATGGAAAAGTCTTGGGAAATAATGGCACAATTAAGCTGCTATCACGTGAGTGTCGTATAGCTTGATGTAATATTACACATTGTGAATAATTACGATTTCAGTATTCTCGTGTACGTGTGCCTACAAAGCAGAAACTACCCTCCCAAGGGATCATGGGTAGGGGTAACTATTTTCAGTAAGAAAAAAAAAAAAAACTTAATTATATACAATACAGATTTTCTTTCTTAATTCTGTCTTAAAAATTGTCTGTCATTGCCTAACAAATGCATCCTCTTCTCTTTTTAGGTATGAGTTTGGTCAGGCTCTCTTTATTGGTTGGGCTGCTGCCGCTCTCTGCCTTCTGGGAGGTTTTCTACTTTGCTGCTGCTGTCCTCAAAAAGCAACCTCTTACCCAACACCAAGGCCTTATCCAAAACCTGTGGCTTCCAGTGGGAAAGACTACGTGTGATGCGGGCGAAGGGCGACCGTGCACTGGAAACAAACAGAAAATGAACTTGGAAATATCACCTTTGACTTTGAGATCATAGACTTTTCACTTCCATTCTGAACTGTGGTATTATGAAAGGAACCATATTTTTATAAATATCAACTGCTGGAAGTAGCCTAGTCTGATTTTCCCTTCTTTCCTCAGCCTAAGAGGGAAACCCTTTCCATCCAGCGCTTCCCACTGAATAATAATCGAACTCAAACAGGAAGAAAGGGTACTTCTTAAATATGTATAGATGTGTATATATACATGTTTTTCTATAAAAAAATTGGTACGATTTCTTATTCTCATTATGTTGGTATCGGTATACTTAAAATACTTCTAAAATAGGAAAAATATATAATTCCCTTTTGATTGAGAAGTTTATTGGTCTATTTTTCTTCTCTGTCTCTCTACATATATTATAGAGCAAATATTTAATCCCTTCCTAAGATTTTTTTGTCTTTTCCATAAAATCAAAACTGTTTGTCGAGGAGTAATTTCTGTTCTTCATGCATAACCTCTTTGTCTGCTTATTTCATTTTCTGCCATCATCTTACAGCGCTTGCTTGTTGTTACTTCCATTTCTGAAAGTTGATCTCTGATTCCTCAATCTGATCATGCATGTCACAGCCTACATCTGAAGATCTAAAGCCAGTGAAAATTGCTTTGAAACTCGCTGTGGCAAGCCAGCCCCTGCCCATGACCCGATGATACTGTCTCGCTCACTGTCCCACGTGTTCCCTGTACTTTGTTTGACCTAACGCACTTTTATTTGCTTTGAAAATATTTGTTTCATTGCATAGATGTGCCAAATTTTTACAAGTAGTTACTTACAGTTCCTTATCCCCCCCAACTATGTATTTCTTTGTCCTTTTTGGCTCTATACTTTTCACTCATATGAAAATGTCATACGTTCTCTCTTGCTCCAGCAAGGTGTGGTCTGTTTATCTAAATATAGTGCTCGACTTGCTGGAGTAAAAATCTGATGACAGATGTTTTTTCTGTAACCGCGATCAAGTCACTTAATCTTTCTACCTCTTTTCTCATCTGTTAAATTGGAATAATTATGTTTAACCAGCTGGTAGAAGTAATGCGAGTATTAATTAGTTGATATGACTCTCATTCCTTTAATGCAAACTATACCTGAGTAGTGTTTTTCTTTGCTCCGATGGCAGTTTTGTAGTCACTGAATAAAGCCTAAACTCCTAAACTCATGACTCTGCACTGTCCGGCCTCTCCAGCTTTCCAGAGGCCCATTGCCTTTCCTTTTGCTGTGCCCAGCATGCTGCTCAGACTCTGTTCCATTTTTGTAACTGCTCTTTCCCCTTTTCTTCTAATCAGTCTGGAGAAGATGCTGGTTGATTTGAACAAGATGATATCATAAAAAAAGGGTGTTGGCTTTGATGTCCAGAGCACTGAATTTGGATCCTGGTGCTACCAATTATTCTGAGGCTGAGCAAGACATTTGTCTGCTAGAGATCTATTGCTTCATCTGTTAAAAAATTAGTATGTTTGTAAGTCCAGCTCTGCCTACATCAGAGGGATGTTGTGTGGATCGAGTGAGATAGAATATGTGTACGTGGAGCTTTTTCAAGTGAAATACGAAGGAATTAAGGAAATTCAGAGTATAGGCCTGGGGTTAATTTTCAAGTGACTGAAAAGATTAGTTTTGTTTTTGTTTGTTTTGTTTTTATACAGGCTCTATAGGGTCTACAGCGTCTCACTATGTAGATCAGATTTGCCTGTGTTCAGCCTCCCAAGTGCTGAGATTACAGGCGCACACCACCACGGGGTGGGGCTGGCACAGCATGCTGGGGATCAAACCCGGGCCACCGCATCTGCCTAAGCAGGTGCTTTAATCTGCTGAGCTATTTGGATGGCCCTGAGATTAGTTTTTTTTTTGGGGGGGGGGCATGGGGGGGAACTGAGGGTTGAACTCAGGCCCTTGCACATGCCAGGGAAGCACTTATTCCACTGAGCCATCTCCCCAGCCCCTGAGCTTCATTTTAAAAACAGCATTTCTTGCATTAATCAGTCTCCCAAGAGGTGAGACCCTAAAGTGAAATTTAGGTCACTAAATAAAAGGGGTTCTAAGGAAGTTCCCTTTTCTTCCATCAGTGTGGACTGATGTTGCTGTAGGAAGTATGTATAACAAAGTAAAAGCCTAAGTGTTGGCAAAGCCAGCAATGTGGGGGGACTTAGAAGTCAGTCCTGTTAGAGGGTATATGGTGCTACTTGTTAAGTGTTACCTTCAGAGTGGTTGAGATTAGGGTTTACCTAACACTGCTAGCATAATCAGAGAAGGCTACTTTGTGCTAAATCCACATGGGAACAGTTGTACAAAGGACCTCGTCTTGAAGATTTGAAGCAGGTAATCTTTACTGTGTCTTCCCAGCCTGACAGTGTGCTTCTAGCAGTTATCCTTCATAAAGCCTTGTCCACATATATAAACCTTAACGGTGTATAAGTATAAATGTATATGTATGAACTCCAAACCAATGTCCGGTCAAAAATGATCCAACAGATTTTTTTATGCCAAAATGTATCCAGTTTGGATATTTATGTAGCCTACTGCTTTGCCTTGAAATGATCCAATAGATATTGGGGGAGAAGGGTAATAGGAATTTGTATAAAGCGTTACTCTTTTTCAATAAATTTTTTTAAATAAAGAATTTATTGTTTGTTTTCTTACCACTTATTTTGAGATCATGCTTAGTTGTGTTTCTCCTGTCAGTAGCAAACTCCATCTCCCTCAGCCTGAGCTCTTCTTCCAGACAGTCATAAAGAAATACTAGGAAATATTGCCTATGTATTTTTTAATCCATAAACATTTTTTAATACATAGAACAATGAATAATTGAAGAGTAAAAGACAGCAGGTTAGAGCTCCACAATGGTTTTGGTTGTGGCCTTTATCAAAACTAACTCTGCAGAAAGGGTATGAAAATTATTTCCTCATTTTCATAATATATCTGCAACATTACCTTAGCAGTGGCCTCTCCCTGGTTAATTTTCAAACAAATGAGTCAAAATGTTTGGGCAGAAGGTGGCAACTTCACTGAGAGACTGAGGCCTTGCAGGATGGGAGGGGACACCGGTTACCAGCCCATTGGATTGCAATTCCCTTTAAATTATACAGACACAGCTGAATATTACTGCACTGTGTAAAAACAACACATCTTCCTTATCTGTTCTTCAGTGGATGAACATCTGCATTGTTCCCAGGACTTAGCTATAATAAGTTGTGCTGCTATAAACATGGGTGCACATATATTGCTGTGGTATGAGATTTTCAGTTCTTCTGGAAAATACACAAGAGGGGAATAGCTGGCTTGAATGGCAGCTCCAATCCTAGCTTCTGAAGGAATCTCCACACTGATTTCCACAGTGGTTGTACCAGTCAGCTATAAAACAAGATAAATTTGAGTCTTTTGTTGGTAAATGGATGCAACTAGAGAACATTTCTTCAGTGAAATAAATCAAACCCATATGAGCAAACATCATATTGTCTCCTTAGTGTGAGAATCTGAAAGAGAAAAATGAAATCTGAAGTGTATAATAGACACTGGTAAAAGGGAATTAACTTATTCAAAAGGAAAGAGTTACTGAGTTGAGTAGAAGGACAGGAGAGGGAGTAGGGGAAGAGATTTGTCTATATAATTAAGCAGGATGGTTTGGACAACTGTACTGTGCGTTTCTGCTGGTCTATGGAAGAAGGTGTAAATACCTTAATTTGTTTTGTCTCCTTTTTTTTTCAATCGTTTCTCCTTTTTATCTTCTCAATTTCTTATACATTTCTTTCTTCTCCCAATTTTACGGGCATACATCTGATAATGTGAATAACTGGTTGGACGACAATGTGAAATTCACATTACTTCGCTAAGTGAAAATCTGTATCACTTGTAATTTTTTGTGTTTTAATTTTAATTTGTACTATCTTTAAAAGTAAAAAATTAGGGATAATGGAGATAGGTCAGTAGAATAAGCACTTGCTTGGCAGCACAAGGGCCTGAGTTCAATCCCTGGTTCCACCAAAAAATAAAAAAAAAGCAAAAAATTTAAAAAGTAATAAAATAAATAAATCATATACACACAGTATAATCCAGCACACTTCTGTGGAATTTAAGTATCTAATGGTGAGGATCCAGTCCATAGAATGTAAGAAATAAAATTCCTAGGTGTTCTTGAAAAGAACGGGAGAGAAAGCTGGAGTGTCACTCACGCCAACCAGATATCACCTCCACGCACGCTCACTCAGTTCTGAGGGCGATTGTTCTCCAAAGCAAGCCACTGTTCCTCCTTCTCCTTTAGTGCTGTCCATCTAGATTCAGGGAAAGTTCCTCCCCCTTTCATAGGTTTTTTATCCTGTGACTCTTACCATAATAGGGTAGATGTTTCTTGTTTTTCTTTTTTGTTGTTGTTGCTCAGATGAAAATTTTGTGTGCTTGGTCTCCCTCTTCACCCTACATACTCTCCATTTATCCCTACTCTGACCTATAATCTCTTATTTTACTGGCCTGTGGGAAGTGACAGAATCCTTGGCACGTTCCTGGGTGATGAGCTTGTTGGGTGTGAACCAGGCAGAAACTCTCCATGCTGAACACCTGCAAATCTCACAGTGTTTTGAACACTTGACTTCCATGGACAGATTTTTCCAAAATAGTGAATATCGACCACTATAAAAAAGATACGAAGTTCTTAAATTAATATTTGCTGGATACCTACTGTGGGCTGGCACCACTAAATACAGGCAAGTTAAAGGTGATATAAAATGAGTATGATAGTCCTGGGCCTGAGAGTAGGATGGAAAATGTTTAGGGGGAAGAGATATGAATTCAAACATTAGCACTAGTTCTGTCCTGATCAGGCACCTGACCATGGAGAATTCCACCCACTACGTCTTAATTTGTAAAATGAAGGGTATAGATTCGTGTAGGTTTCCTTCATCATAATATCAAGTTAAAACAACCCAGATGATTTCAAAACTTTCTAATTCCAGGTTCTGCCCCTAAGCAGAGGAAAACAACTTCTGAGGATAGTCAGGTTGAGCTTCATGGGGGATCCAACATGGAGTCTCAGTTGCAAACTAGAGTCTTCTCCTCTCATAGGACCAAAGCTTCCCCAAACATTTCTGAATACACACAAGTGTGGGTGCTTAGTAGTGTACATTGCTATCTATTCTTTTTTTTTTCCAATGTTATTTTATTTTCTCTTTCAGCATTGGGGGGATTTCTTTTTGGTGGAGGAGGGGAAGAGTTACAGAGAGGCAGTGTTCAGAAGCTTTTTGATATTTTTCTGGTAAGTAAGCCCCCTTCTTGCCATTGTCAACTGTTTAATCATCTTCCAGGAATAGTTATTAATTTAAAAAACTTTTTAAAAAACCATTTTTCTGTTTCACGATGTGAGTTTTGAAAGATAAAATACGCTATGTAAAGTGAAGCATGAACTTTTATTTTTGAGTTTTCAAGGAAATCTCAAGCCAAGCCATAGCCTTGCTTCAATTGATTGTGATTGATTTTCTGTGATTCTAATTGATTTGTTTCATTGTTTTTGTAATTTATCACTTTGATCTTCTCCCACGAAAGGAAAAATGCAAACACACCCAACAAAGTAAAAGATTGAAAACTCAGTATGTTTAAGTCATCAGGACTAATTTATGGACTTTAAAATTTTTTGTGTCTGTTTTTGTTGAATCCATTTTCCTGTTCTTTGTATTTTCACTCTGTGGGACTTTCCCGTGGCCATGCAAAAGCTTTTTAATTTGATGTGGTCCCATTTGTTGATTCTGTGTAGCACTGTATTTCCT